GTAGCTCACAAGTTTCGACTCGTCTGCTCACGTCGTGAACACGCTTGCGCATAACGTTCAGGATTTAGCTTCTCTGCTTTCAATAGTGTTAGAGGCAAGGTCGGTCAAATTGTAGGGACTGTAAATGAAGTTTCTCACCTTACTTCTTTGACTCTAAGTATCTTCTCTTACCAGCATACAGTTAACAAAATTACACGGCGAGTGAATGACTTGGCGGCTGCCCTCATCCGTGCTGCGCGCGGTGAGGTCTTGCCAACCTTGATTTCATATGCCGACATGAACGCAATACTTCGCAATGTGTCTTCTTTTTTCTGTCAAGACTCTCTTCCCTCTTGGACAACGCACTCGGTTTTATGCTAGCCTGAAGTCTTTCCTCACTGTTTCTGGGCTATCTGTTATTATTCCGGTGCGTCCTCCTATTGTCTTTAAAGCTTATCGCGTTCACCCCTTCCCACACAAAACTAACAACTCACACTACATGGTTAGCGTCCCACACACCTTTATCCTTAGGGAAATAGAGGGACATGCTTTATCCTTCCCTACTCCCGACCTCTTAAATTCCTGTACGAAGCCTGTCAAGGACACTTACGTGTGTTTTTCTGCACCTATACCTTCACTCTTCAAACTCTTCAACTCTTCAATCTGTCCATACTTCTGTGCTCGTGCTCTCATTTCTAATAGGTTTGTTACCTCCCTCTGTTCCTTCGAGGAGGTGAAAGATCAGATCTCTCCCTTTATGCTTAGCCTCTCTCAGGTAACCCTGATATATTTCTATCAGTCAACAGCCGCCACTATTGCTTGCAAAGAGAGTCATTCAGATAGGTCATTGCAGGGAACCTTTGTACTACCTCACAACTGTAAGTTAAGTTCCCTGTCATTAAAAGTTCCTGCAATCAAGTCCTTCGTTACGGACGTCGCTGCAGATCCTATAGCGATTAGGCCGGCGCTCCTGACCTTGCCGACAATCAACATCACGATCCCCGAGTTACATCTAAGGGACGTTAGTAAGGTCCAGGACGCGGACGTAGGGTTGATGTCGGAATTTCATATACACTTTTTCTATCCTGTATATGTTACCTTGATAGGCATGCTTCTTCTTTTATTAGCGTTTGGGGCGTGCTACGCGAAAGCATATCGGATGCACAGGGAGGACGAACAAACCCGCAGTAGGGCCGCCGAACGCGCTGCCTCGGACCCTATCCTTATGCAACAGAAAGCCTAGTGCACTGAGTACCTGTAGATGTGGAAATTGCTATGCTCTCTCTCTATCCTTGTTCGGAATGTTCGGAGTTCAAATAGGCTCTTGCGGGTCGCTTCGAGCATTTCCTACGAAAAAAAAAAAAAAATCAATGTGAAAAAAAAGATATAAACACATAAAATAGATTGTTTCGTCTCGTAGCAGATTGTTCATACTCCCCCCCCCCCCCATCTGTCGCATCTTTCTCTCCTACTATCCTGGCCCTTGTGTGCATGGTCTGACTGCCGTTAGCGGAGTCGTCGGCAGTATGCGGCTCCCACGAAGCAGAGACAGGAGGACCAGCCGTCAGGAAGGACCAGGTCGAGGACCGTCTACACCCAGGAGGACTTTGCGTGAATACGCCGTGGACGGACGCACCCTGGAGAAGGACGAGATGGAGGACGCTCGCCGCGAGGACCGACGAGGACCGATCAGGCGAAAACGAGGACGCACGCCATGAACCCTCGTCGTCAGCCGATCCGTGTCGCAGCAGGGGAAGCGGTAGGAACGTCAGGTCAACTTCGAGGAGGAGCTATTTTCAGCGCCTCGAGGACGAGGCGGGGTAGGTGGCAGAGCGATGAAGGAGTTGTTAATAAGGCGTACCGTATTCGTACGCCTGCTGTTGGTACCGGATGTTGTACCGGCAGCCTGTTCTAAATATAGGACTACTCTGTCCGGCTCGAGGTCGCCTTCAAGGTCGCCAGGGGTCACAAGACCAAACTGACCTGAGAGCGACCTACCATAACTCGCTCTCACTACTACCGTCGCCATTCTAAGGGTCAGGACCAACGCCCTAGCTCGCCCTGACCATCCCGATAAACCCGTGGAAGCTGACCGACAAGATACCTGCCTTGCTGCCAACTCCACCAAGAACATCTTCAATAAACTGAAACAACGAAGATTGTGTGTTTCTCTGACCCTGTCATTCAATATAGTGGGACTCTTTATAACTAAAGCAGAGACCATCGTATAAAGGTACAATACATGCAATACCTACTTCCCATGTGTGTCCACATCTAGACCACGTGTTGTGGCAGGGGCGCCATGTGCGTGCCCCACGCTCACTGCCCCTCGCTTCAACACGTGGTCTAGATGTGGACACACATGGGAAGTAGGTATTGCATGTATTGTACCTTTATATATACACACACACACACACACACACACACACACACATATATATATATATATATATATATATATATATATATATATATATATATATATATATATATATATATATAGAGAGAGAGAGAGAGAGAGAGAGAGAGAGAGAGAGAGAGAGAGAGAGAGAGAGAGAGGTGGGTGTAGGGGATAGAGTGAGAGAGCGAGAGAGATAGAGGGGGGAGAATGAGAGATAGAGAGAGAGAAAAGAGAGAGGAGAGGGAGTGAGTGAAGGAGAGAAAGAGAGAAAGGAGAGAGAGAGAGAGAGAGAGAGAGAGAGAGAGAGAGAGAGAGAGAGAGAGAGAGAGAGAGAGAGAGAGAGAGAGAGAGAGAGAGAGAAAGAGAGAGAGAAAGAGAGAGAGAAAGAAAGGAGAAAGAGAGAGAGAGCAAGAGAGAGCAAGAGAGAGAAAGAGAGAGAGAGAGAGAGAGAGAGAGAGAGAGAGAGAGAGAGAGAGAGAGAGAGAGAGAGAGAGAGAGAGAGAGAGAGAGAGGAGAGAGGAGGGGGGAGGGGGTGTAGGGATAGAGTGAGAGAGCGAGAGAGATAGAGGGGGAGAAGGAGAGAGAGAGAGAGAGAGAGAGAGAGAGAGAGAGAGAGAGAGAGAGAGAGAGAGAGAGAGAGAGAGAGAGAGAGAGAGAGAGAGAGAGAGAGAGAGAGAGAGGTGGGTGGGTGTAGGGGATAGAGTGAGAGAGCGAGAGAGATAGAGGGGGAGAAGGAGAGATAGAGAGAGAGAGAGAGAGAGGGAGAGGGAGTGAGTGAAGGAGAGAAAGAGAGAAAGGGAGAGAAAGAGAGAGAGAGAGAAGAGAGAGAGAGAGAGAGAGAGAGAGAGAGAGAGAGAGAGAGAGAGAGAGAGAGAGAGAGAGAGAGAGAGAGAGAGAGAGAGAGAGAGAGAGAGAAATCCCTTAAAATGACTGTAGTTTATGGTATGATTATGGTATTCTTGCAAAATTTATCAATGCTGAATAGAAGATATATTTCTTTGCTTACACATTTTTTTTTCTATATATCTTTTCAATTCATCTATATGTTTGTTTTGCTTCATATCATATCATGACTTGTTTCTCATATCCTACACAGCATGAAAGCAATTTTAATTCTACTTGATTACATATACTTAATACTTAATTATAACTATATACTTAAGAGTAATATATATCCTTCTGAGCCTGTTAATTCTTATTTAGTCTAGCATGTCCATGTCAGAGTATAGTAATTATAACTGACCACAAAGATATGTAAGCTGTCTGTCTTCTATTTTGGCAAGTTTGGATGAAGACTAGAGGATACTGGGTAAATTCTACCACTAATCTTACAGAGCACCAGAATTTAGCTAGAATGTTTTCAGGTCTTAATCTAGGTTTCGTTTTTTAAATTCCAGAAATACAACAATTTTTTGTGCACTGTATTAGAGAGAGAAATGATTATTAGGTGAAATCACGTACTTCGTTTGTCTCACATGTGTCCTTATAAAGTTAATACTTCCACAAGAAAAGAAACAAATTCATTTTATATAAGTGAAGCATCCAAGCACTAAACTTCCACTGTTAAAATTATGTTCTGAGGCAAAAAGGAGAAAAAAAAACAAACAAAAAAAACAGAGGGATATCTTTTGAAATGAAAAGAAAAATACACAATTCAATTTCCTATTTATTTGTCCATCCTGATATGATGGTGCAACGTATGATAAAACATTACTGATACAAGCCTTGGAAAGTAAGTGATTACTTAATTCCAAATTGTTACCTTATATACAATTTCTTCAAGTCACATAACGTAAAGGTTAACAACACAGGAAACGAAGTGAAAAAACTGATGTTTCCTCATGACTGAGCACATATATGACCACTGTAGTATCACAATAATGAGGCAAATTGCATATGTAAGGAAAGGTGAAGATGGGTATATCAAAATACAATGAACAATAATCTCATTGTTTGTCAATCAAAATTTTCAATAAATATTATATCAGTAAAAAAGAAGAAAAAAAAAGAGGTTGCTGTACATAAATATTCTCAATACTTGAAATGATATTAACCCAGAAATGTAATGAATGAAATAACCAGTGACTATGGATCTGGAATGTGTGTAAAACGGTAATAAAATGAATGAATAATATATGACTGGTGATATAATTAAGTTCTTAATATTCAAACATACATGAGAGAGAAAATAACCTTCAGGTGTATAAAAAAGTTCAAATTTGAAACAATGTTAGAGTGATATAAATGCTGTACTTCCATTTCTTTCGCCTTACATGAAATCACCGGTTTAATTATAACAAAAATGGAAGTTGAGATACAAATACTTAAATCTATTCTTTTCTTAGGAACATGAACACATACAATATATGCACACATAAATCCATATCTGTGCATATGTCATGTACAAAATCATTAGCAAAACACTAAATACTGTAATGTATATACTATTCAGTAACACTCAGAGGTCTTGTAAGTGCAAAATATAATTTTAAGCTTTTTATAAAATCTTTTTTACTTTAAATATATGCCCTGAATAGATCTTGAGTTATGAATAGTCATGTTGAACATCTGAAAGACAACTGTTTAATATTAGCACCAAATTCTACTTCAGCAAATCTATTCTAACACAAAGTCTGTTTGGTTTTAGTAAATGTTTCTTCAATTACCGTAACATAAAACATACTAGGGGTAAATGCATAACCATGCACATGTATATCTATACATAAGCAAATACAAACCCCATACACATACATAGTTACAGGTTACAGCCATTCAGTGAAGTGCTTAAAAAATTACCTTAGTTTCCATCTTCAACTTTAACTGTTGACATTAAATATTAATACTGTGGAAAATCCTATTCTACATGTGGAAGCTATTGTAAGGTGTAGTTAGCTTCTTTCCTGAGTTGAAAAGATATTTATATTTAAATAACAATTATATAGTTAAGGACTTCCATTCAACATTTACAGGTATTTTGCAAATTCCTCCTTAAATATCAAACCTGTTTATATATCACTGAAATGCATTCTTACTAGGAACATTTATTTCCATTAAAATCAGAAGTATTGTAAATAACCTTTAAAAAGAAAAAAAGGAATACATGAACATTTCACTTATATAAGGCTCATATATCATAAAAAGTAATAAAATGAGATTAGCTAACTGGCACTAACACTTCTGCAATTTAGACATTTAAGAGGTGTATTCTAGGATTATTTAGTTTCATTCATGGGCAGTTTACATTTTTGTGTGTGTGTGTTACACCACTGTATCTCAATAGATTATACTTGGTAGCTTGGTTACTCAAAATGTTTTATTCATATCTGCTCTAGTGTCATACATATCAATGTCTATCAAAAAAAATATTACTGGGTCTTCATCTCACGGATGGTTGTGGTCATGATTTTAAAGCTACATTTATACAGATCACAGCTAAT